AAAAAAAAGGGGATACAGATGAATGTCCGTTTTGTATCTGTGTATTCAAAATGGTTAGGATAGATATATAATTGCATTCTCTTAATGAATAGAGGGATTTGTTCTAATAGTGTTTGTAAATCGGATATCATGTCTGCATCTTGTACAGCAATTAACACACAACCATTGCAATGTGTTAATTATTGAAACTGTCCTACCAATTTGGTTTGAAACTGTCTCATTGCTATTTGTTTCTCATTAAAATTATGGAAAAAAAATCTTTGTAAAGCTGTTCCTCTATAAAAGCAAAACAAACAAAAATACTAACAAATGTTGCCCAAATCAGCTTTTTTTTTGATCTCTAGAGAATAAAGGTTTGCAATAATTCTAGAAGCACTAATTTGGGAAAAATTGCTCAACCCCTGTAGAATACTGAGCTTTGTGGCACTGTAACTTGCCCTTTCTTCCTTTCCCTGGTAGTTTTGAAATTAACAACTTTGTAACACAATCACAATAGAGCAGTAGTCTGGCAACTACCGGGGAAGCAGAGCAAGTTTATAGCTCCCCCAGAAATCCCACTCGGAGCATTGTCACTGCTCTACCTTTCTGCAGTACCCTGAAAAACTCCATTCTCCAGGCTTGTCTTCCTTAGACCTGCTTAGAACTTGCTTACTATAGACATCTTATCCTTACCGCAAGGTGTTTTGTCAGGAGTATTCATTGGAGGTGATGTTACCAATAGGTCCTAGGAAGAGTGACCAAAAACTTGAAAAGGTCACATGGGACAGTGAGACAACCAGGACTGTGCGTTAACCCCTCCAAAAAGGAACAGGTTCTGATCTCTCATCTTTGCCCTTGAAGATCTGTTCAAGCCGGAAGGGAAGGCCAAGTAGAGTTGTAAACTATCCACAGAAATACTGAAATTATACCCCCAGCCCCCCCACCTCAGCTAAGGCTGAGACCCCTGTTGATTGAAAAAGCTTGTAAGGCAATTGCATCCAGTCATCATTACAGTTTCAGTAACTGTGTAAAAGAATACAGGTATTATACAAGTAATTCAGGAACATCACTTAATGACCAGCAATGTGCAACCCCTGGGGGTGGGGTGTCATACAAATGATATAATTTCCAGAGTTTCCGTGTTACATTATTTGAATTAGTCCTTTTCTACAGAAGAAATTATGTGATGTACAAAGAAATGGGAAACTGTGGACTTGTACACACTAAAAAAGTCACTAAGCTGACCCTAAGAAAGCCCAGGTTGTTGGATTTAATGGGGAAAGAAAGACTGCGCCGAAATGAGATCTTCAAAGGACGAAGATGCAATGAAACTTGTAGCCAAATGAGTACTTGGTCTTCTCCATTCCCATCTTTATGATGTGCCAAGTAGAGCTGGGTTTATGTCACTTACTGGCATGGTGGCCTTAGAGGAAAAGCTTCATGGGCCTCAGTTTCTCTAGCTGAGCTTTAGTGACTTGATGTATAATGCAAGGAGATTGGACTAGAGGTGGTATTTATATCTTTTCATGTTAAAGATGGCTTTTAGAGAAACCTACAAGCAACAGATTTGTGCTGCATATCCTAAGTTAGAGACTTCATGCATAGTTTTTCTGAAAAGGTTTTGCTTAGAAAAATGTAGATTTGATAAATAATTGTTACGCATGTTTATCTTTCAGGGGCAAAGATGGACTATGTTCTGAATTACGCAGATTATTATTTTTTCACCCCATACGTCTATCCATCTACATGGCCAGAGGATGACATTTTCCGACAAACTATTAGCCTCCTGATCGTGACAAACCTTGGTGCTTTTGTTCTTTATTTCCTCTGTGCGACACTGAGCTATTACTTTGTCTATGATCATTCGTTAATGAAACATCCACTATTTTTAGAGGTAATTTTCTTAGAGTAAAATGAAAGGTGATATATAGTAAAAATATGTGATGTTTTTGCCAGATTTCTGCATTAAGCTGAGTATATGTAACCATTAATGTTTCTGAAACCAGCCCTAAAGTGGTTTAGGTATGCTAGTCTTTTCTTTCCTTTTCTTTCTCTTTTTCTTTTTCTTTTTTTGTATTTTGTGCAGGGTCTCACTATGCAGCTTGGATTTGTAGTGATCCTCCTGTTTTTGGCCTCCCCAGTATGTTCACTGGGGGATGAGGCTGGTACAGCCTGTGGTACAGGGGATTGAACCCTGGCCCCTGTGCTTGTCTAAGCAAGCACTTAGTCCACTGAGCTGTCTCACTGGCTGTAGATATTTTTCTGAGTTATAAATACCTCTCTTCATCTCTAATTTAAACATGTGTGAATCTAATTTTTTGACTATAAGCCTACTATCTTACCTTGCTAGATACATAGGTGAGAATTTTTTTGCTAATACAGTATTGATGAATAATAAATGTACTGATTTATGTAATTATTTTGTTTGTCTTTCACAAACTGAAATATGTTTTAAAACGTGTGTATTTCTTTGGTCAGACAGGAAATTTAAACTCATAGCATTAGAGTTGTTTGTAGTCATTCAGTTCTTTGTATTTGTCAGTTACTCTTAAGAACCAAACAGTTTTTAAGGACTTTTTTTGACCTTTTCTCTTTTGGTACAAGGAATCAAACTCAGGGCTTCTCAATTCCCAAGCAGGTGCTGCATCACTGAGCTACATCCCTGTACTGAATTTTTTAAAGAATAGGATTGGGAGTGGAGTTTAATTATGAAAGAAATGATTATTTCATAAATAAAATTTAGAATACAAATTTTATGGGAAGGAAACAACATTTTAAGGGCTGGGCAGATAGCTCAGCGGATTAAAATGCCTGCTTAGGCAGACACAGGGGCCCTGGTTTGATCCCTGGCGTGCAGTGCCAGCCCTGCCCCTAGGTAACACTGAGGCAGCAACTGAGACTGGGCATGGTGGCACATGCCTGTAATCCCAGTACTTGGGAGGCTGAAAACAGGAGGATCACTAGGTGTCCAGTCTGTGTAGTGAGATCCT